ATCTTTTGTATGCCTTCGCTTGCTGACTTGCTCACTAATGAACAGGTGGGAAATTTGTCGTCGCTGACCAAGAAATTGCGCGCAGAAACAAAGCTCATTGCATTTACATTCAAAACAAAGCAGAAAGTTTGCAAGAAGCTGTTTTAGCTGACGATTTTTTGCTTTCCATTCAACGATTTGCAAATTATTGGTTATTCTTTTAAAAGTTGATCATGAATTCTTTGTTTTGGGATAGTTGTTTTGTAATCGAGTGATTGGAAGAAGTTAATATGGCGACGTAAACATGGGAGTAAATACCGTATACGTCGATCTATGGCTTGTTTAAAACCGTAATAAACGAAGAAAGACGTGATTTGAAAATGAAATGTAAGTTGAAATTAACTTTATATGCCTCAAATTTTCCATCCTATGTTTCATAATGTAACTTCAGCTGCCTAAGTTCAAAATACAAGATCGCGAAATTTGACAAATTTTGAAAATATGTAAAAATAGCTTGACTTTGAACTGTAGTTTCTCAAAAATAGCCCGTGGCCTCAATTTCAAATATAGCTAAATGAAAAGAAAAAACTTTTCGGCGTTTGTAGGTATCAAACATATCGTCAGGAAAATAGGGGCTCACAATGTTTTAGTTCAGTCTTTGAGACCCAGCTTGCTTCGCACGTGTTGTGGTCAAATATTTGCCAAGAATCAAAGGCCGACATGTGAACTTCCTTCATGAAAACCGCTTCGAGAAGAGTCTAGTTTGAAAATTTACCTATTAATTTCGATTTCATGAGCATATTTTGGTTACACGTTAAGTATTTTTGTGCTTGATGAGATTCAAAATTTGTTGTATATTCAAGCCCGACTTTTGTGTAATTTTGGTGATGATGGGAACAGAAATAAAGATATTTTAAAAACTGGCCGTGGCCTCATAGGCGTACCGGGCGGGGGGGTGGGGGGGGGGGCGGTAGCCCCCCAGTTTTTTGGGCAGTCGGGCAATATTCGATCAACAGTCGGGCAATTTCAGTTTGCAATAAAAGAAATGGGACAAATTCTGTTAATTTTGTCTAAAATTAAGTAAATTTTGTGGGAAATTTTGTGATTTTTCGAAAATTTGTGTCATGTTCCGAAAAATATTGGTTGTCCGGAAAATTTTTTTGACCCCTAATATGGTACACTGACCGAAATTTTTTTGGCGACGGGGGGGGGAGGTCGCCAAAAAAATTTTTCCGGAAAAAACTTTTTGGTACTAGTCGGGCAGAATCCCGAAAAGTCGGGCAATTTTCTTTCCACCCCCCTAATTTTTTCCTTCCGGTACGCCCATGCGTGGCCTCACGATAAAACTTTCTACAAATGTTCTCTGTTTCATGTACTTTTATTTGATATCTTAGGTATAAGCGTAAAAATAGGGGCTCATACAGTTTAAGAGGTTGTAAAATGCATGACTTGCCTCTATTTTCATGTAAACATTCGAAATTCTTCGACAGCAAAGTAGCAACTGTTTCAGATCGAATGCACACGGACAGCCCACCAGAGACAATGGCAGGGTACTGAAATAGAACGTCACTAAAAAATTCTGTATGATTAATTTAGATCATGTCTACTCTTTCAACATAAAACAGTCATTTATTTTGTACAAACATTTGGCCATATTTACACGATTGTGCCTTTTCGTAAACACGCGTTGCGTGTATTCCACGCAACTGCGTGGCTCATTTTACTCACCTTTCTCCCAGTGAGCCTGTTCGCAGGCTAGCGCATGCTCAGACAAATTTCCCACCTGTTTCACTAATGAGAATAATCCGTGAAGCCACGACGACCTCAAAATGTACTATACTATAGTCTGATGTCAATCCGAAGACGAAGTTCAGAATACTGTTATAGTTTCGTATATTGGATTTTAATAAGCGATAGATTCAAGTCATTTATGATAGACTTTTTTGCTGTGATGCTTTGCTATTGCTTTTGGTTTCCACTTCTAGTTTTATTTGTTCGATAGTCCTATAATATATAATATTAAAATGAATAAAGTTCAAATTCTTCAAAATGCTGTTGTTGACATTAGCTATTTTTAGTAATTTTGTCAACGAGTGTAAGCCAATCAGAAGCCTGCGTTTCTATACGAACGCCACTACCAAGAAAACCTATAGTTCCGTGCAGGCCCTCTATTCTTCGCGCCGCCCGCAACCCAGGGCCTGTTCGCAGGCTAGCAAAAACCGTGGCTAATCTACATATTGATTGTCACAACGATAACATGAGCCAGCAATACCTAGAGTCAAAGTTCACCTGAAACGTACTTCATGTCAGAATCCCAAATTAATTAAAAACTAACATTGTAAAATTTTTGACATCCAATTTATTTTTTTTTCACTTTCTGAATATCTACGGTCGGCGGATCTGTAAACCAATGAATAAAAAAAGTCTCGCCTAATTGAAGTTATCTTTCAGTGAAAATCGAAATATAGTAAATATCGTGCCGCGTTGTTGTGACTGGCGTTCGGTGTGGCTGGCCACTTTGGGCATACTGTAAACAGCAGGCTTTTAGCCAGGGTCCTAAAAGAGGGTGTCCAATTTTGGTATACCGATACATCTACAGTAAAGGGGGGGTCCAGAAAACGTTCCTCTGGAAAACCTTTGAAGTTTACGTTACTACATGCCAGTATCTGTTCCAAGCTCGTTCGAAATTTTTCAAACACGCTTGGCTTTGTGAGTTTGTGCCGCTATGCTTCTTTACTTAACTACATGTATGACATTTTCATTCAGCCAGGTACACCATCAAATTGATCCAACTGTCTAATGTATAATAATGATAATTGAAGCTATTTCGTTTCAGATATATTAATATACTAGGGAAATAATTGACAATAATTTCCCTTTTTCCCCAGAATTTGGGCGTCTAAAGGCGTCCATTTTTCGTTCTAGGGGCGTCCCGGGACAGGACGCCTGGACGCCCTTCTGGCTAAAAGCCTGGTACTAAACAGGCCTACTCGATTAATCACGCAGCAAGCAGTAGGATTTTTAAACCGCGAGCGGACGAGACTGATAATATAAATCGAAGGGACACAATAGCAATGAAATTAAATTTGTTAAATATCTTGTTTATATTCGCATACTAATACTATTCTACATTTAGTATAAACCTACTAGTAGGTTATCACATATCGTGCCTTCTGATTGGCTACGCTACTAGTAGGCTATTAGTGATCAGGGTTGGTATGTTGGCCTTTTTGAGGCCAAGTAACTCGATTTTGGCCTTTTTCTTTCTTGTCAGGCCTCAAAAAAAGAATTTGGCCATTTGGCTACTTTTTGGCCTCTTTTCACTTCAAAACAATTTTTTAGAATTATATTGATCTTTAGTTGTAAAAATCATTTAGATGTATAATAAATGATGTGAGAGGTTGATTTGCAATGTAAATTTCAAAAATAATCATATGGACAATCCAGTTGTATTTTCAGCCAATCACAGCTGATGAAATTCAGCCAATTGTAATGCTGATAAACTAACCAATAACAATTAAACAAGCACTATCTTCGCAGACGTCCGCCTCAGCGGCTAATTATATAAGAGGGTTATATGATCTAAATTCTAAAATCATAAATACTGATGAGAGTTTATGGATTCTCGGTCAACCAGTGCTCTCTTTACGGACTATCCAAATTAAGTGGCAAGTACTGGTTACTCAACCGAGGAATCAAAAGTCCTGCCACGAGCTTGCCATAGTGAACTCTTTTTGGCTCAATCTCGTTCTCCGAGCCTGTGTTCCCTTTGTCCTGCGGTGGGAATGATATGCCACCGCATGCCAAAGGAAACGCAGGCTCAAGGAACGAGTTGTTTTTGGCTTCTTTTGAAAAAATAGTAGTTTGGCCTCTTTTGGTAGATTTTGGCTACTTTTCAAACTATATTTGGCTCCAAGCTGCGCAGGAGCCTACCAACCCTGTTAGTGATAGCCTACTAATAGAAAATTCAAAATGGCGGAAAATTCGCGTTTTGCACTTTTGCCGAAGTGTCTGATGATTTTTTGGACGACTTGTTGAACAATTCCGTACTAAAAAAACCCGAAAAAGCAACAAAAATATGGAATGGCAATTTTTAAGGGTAATAAAATAGACAAAATAACATACACTCAATGAAATTTTAAAATTAAAACTGAATTTTGTAAAACATTTTACGCGAACAAAAACTAAAATATTTGTTTACCTTTATTCTTTAATGGTTTTATAATGGTTTTTTTTTGTGTATTTTTGTATTGTGTTTGCAGCCTAGTTGTAAATTAATGTTAAAGTTTATACTAAAACAATTAGACAACTCGGCCTCGTTGTCTTGTTAAATTATCGCATATCAATGAATTTAGTCTACAGTACGAACTATGTACAGTGCGCTCCCCACTTCGGATAAGATGCTAGCTATATGTTGCAATCTGGTATCATGTTTGTACTGTATTTTGTTGATTTGTTGTTTCGTATTTGTATTTGTTCTGCAAAAGGCCACCAGCACACAGATGGCTAGCTCTGTAGCTCATGCTGTGTTAGTGTTCCGGAGCCGTTTCCTTGTTTGTATTTTCTTTGTTTATATTCGTGTTAACGGCCGAAGTTTACAGTAATCTATTTTTATAAACCAAGCACATGCAAAGCATGTTTTTTTTGGGGGGGGAGGGCTTAAACGTACAGTGTAATGTCTAATGAGGATTTACTGACCCACAGTGCGTCCGGCTATCAAACTAATTCCTCTCATTCAAGTTTATAGTCATATGGAGTATTCAGTCAGATTCTCAATTTTTTTAATTTCTCTTTAGCTTTTCTACAGCAAATAACGTTTTTAATTTTTACAGTAAACAATGTCAATAACCCAATTAAATTGTCAACTAGTTAATTTACAGCAGTTTCATGAGATTCGACAGTACAAGCAGTGTAAGAAAGATCCGGACTGATATCCTGTAATTACAAGAAGCGAAATAAACGAGAAATATATATATATATATATAAGCGAATCTCGTTAAACTGCTGTAAACGTTTTTATATTAGTCTCTTACAATATACGAGATAGTGAGTCTCAATAATCTTGAAACGTCATTGTAAGTTTTATGATACTTTTTTCTCATAGCGTCCTGAGTTTTTCTCATAGCGTCCTGTGCCTTTTTCAGGTTGCTTTTAGATAAATCTAGCCTTGCCCTGGGATGTCTCAACGTTTTGACATTCTCAGTCGGTTTTCCCACTAATAACTCTTTCACCTCGTTCGACAGCTTGGTATATTCGGCTTTGTACATTTTCACACGTGCGATGTTGTTCTGCAAAGTCCCCTTTTTGACCTTCGCCTTTGTCTTTGAGGAAGTGGATGGAGAACCGTTCCCGGTGTTGTTAGCAAGTTCGACATCTGCACGTCCTTGTTGAAGCAAATTTTCAGACTTTTGAAGCCGCCAGTCAGCGTGGATTTTCTCGTATATCTTGGCTTTTGGCAGCAGCGTTTTTGATAGCTGTTTAGCTTTTTGATTCCAAAATGTTCGCCTCTGTTTCTCTCTTCCAACAGCGTTCTCGATTTCGTCATTTGTGAAGACTATAACTCCTCTGATCGACCAAGAGGTAGGTGATTTAAGAGCCTGGTTAAGGTTACAGAACACCTTTGAGTGTTAATTTTCCCTAAAAAATTTTTATTGGTTTCCATGAAAGCATTAGACTAGTTCTACTATCTGACCAACTTTGAACGGAAAATGTTGAAAACTCGCAGAGTTATTTAATAAAATACATTTCGCTGCAATAAGAAAAACATTGAAAATGTAATATTCAAATTCAATTTTCTCCCGAAAAATTTTACGGTAATTACTGATTTTCAAACGAGTTATGCTCCCGCGGGTTTTAACCAATTTTTCTCAAATTTTCACAGGACATAGCTAAAGACGTCAGTTTCAAAATCGTGTTCGGCTTTTTTTTAATGTTGGATATTTTAAAAATAAAGAGCAATTTACTAAAACAATTCAGAAATATATTGCAGTTGTCAAAGAAATCGCCATATCAGCGGAATGACGAAATAAACAAAAATTTCCGAACACCATTTTTTAGAACAACTATTTTACTGTATAAAAATGATATTTTCATAAATATAACTTAAAACCAGCAGGAACATAACTCAAAAGCGTAACGGTACCGCGATTTAAGATTTTCCTGAATAATTCTTACATTATTTTATTGTTTGTTAATTTTACACCTTTACCATATTTTGCATGCACTGGAGAACATTTGGTGAAAATTTGATGAAAATCGGACTGATATTGAGCGCGCAGTAGCGATTTTCCGCAAAACGCCAAAAAAGGTGTCCTGTAACCTTAACGGAAGTTTTATCTCTGTTGCGTTCAAAGCATTCTTGTTGACTACAATTGTCGCTAAACTTGGTTCCGTCATTTGACACAAAATTTCCGCTTTCAGTTGCAGCTTCTTTATCACTACTATAGGAGCTGATGTCAGAGAATTTTACCGTGAGGTTTCCAACACTTCTCGTGATGTAATGCTATTAATAATTACGAAATCTTCTGCAGATTTTGGGATTTGTTGTGTCGCATCCCGTGCAAACAGAAAATGTTCTGGAATTAACTCAGAAACTTGATCTGTTACTGCAGCTCGTAAAGCTGTTAGGGACGATGCCGTGTTCACTCCGAAGAGTGAACACACTGTATTTTCTCTTTCAACGTCGAAAAGAAGTAAAACTTCCGACATACTTTTAGCAGTTGAAGCAAAATAAACATATATTAATTAAGGGACTCAGGTGTTGAGTCACGTCACGGTCTCCGCATACTTCTGGCCTCTAACAGATATCTCCTAAATAATTCGTCGCCAATCTCGTACAAAATTTAAGATAAATCTTCGGAGAATTTCGTGGTATAATTTTCGTGTTATTAATTTGTGAATTCAATAATATATTTTGGATTTTCTATCGTGAACATCTGCCTGTTTCGTGTCTCTCGCTACAAATCGTGAACTTTGGGTTTTGAGCATTTTCTCATCGAAGAATTACTGGATTTGTTTGTAACTTTCCCAGCCTATACGTATTGTGCTCCCGTCATTTTGTCAAGTTTTAGTGTATTTTGGACATATATATTTTAAACTACAGTCATTTGAATTATTTGACCGTTGGAACTTTTCTATCACTAATCATGTCTAGCGTCGTTTGTCATGGCAACAACTTAACCTGCGTGTAGTCGTTTTGCGGTTTTGTCCTCGTCTAAAGTAAAGTTTTCATTTTGGATTCGTGTTTGTCTATCTATTCGTAACAGTTTGGTATTACTTTTGTCCAATTTGACAGAGTATATCGTGTGTTATTCGTAGTTTGTTGACCTTTGTTATTGTACGTTGGATTTTAAATAATTCGCGGCGGCGTTCTCGAATTACCGGCGTGGGCTGTAATCTGTATCGTGATATTTAGTGATATTCAACTTCCTATCTGGTATTATCGCCTGATCATTCTCTACTACATATGCATATTATATATCAAGTATAGAACTATCAACTTCTTTGTTTTGTCTGAGATACCCAATATGCCTAACATCGCAGCAATGGGAACAGTACTAAATTTTGTAGTTATGCTAACAATTCTCAGTCTGTGTCTAAAACTAAAGCCGTCTCCGACTCATTGTCAACCTGATACTAGTCTGCCTCTAGGTAATATAGCAATTAGCTCCGAGCTAGCACGACTGCCTGATAAACTATGTTTTGTCTGGATTTCTACCCGAGATACAAAGTTGAGAAGTTTTAACCTACCAAAATACTATCGCTATGGTATGGACTTACGAATCGCCAACGTCTCAAATCATGTGCTTATCTCGATCTTGTTAGCTGGCGACATTGCTACTAACCCCGGTCCCGCTCACGTTAATAACAACTCACCTACCCTCCCCGGAGGTTTAAATGTCCTCTATATGAACGCACGAAGTATCAAAGCTTTCGTTCCCCTTGTAGAGAACCCTTCCAGCAAAGTTTGTAAAATAACATTGATACAGCAGCTGGTCTACAGTAATTGTTATGACGTTGTCTGTATATGTGAAACCTGGTTGAACGATTCAGTTATGTCATCAGAAATCCTAACTGGCTATAACATTTATCGCAAAGACAGGGTTGGAAGGACTGGCGGAGGCGTTTTAATTGCTGTGAAGTCTGACATTAGGTCCACTCATCGACATTTTTGTGTATTTTTGTATTGTGTTTGCAGCCTAGTAGTAAATTAATGTTAAAGTTTATACTAAAACAATTAGACAACTCGGCCTCGTTGTCTATGATCAAATAGTCAACTCAGCTTCGCCTCGTTGATTATTCACTCATAGACAACTCGGCCTCGTTGTCTAATTGTTAAATTATCGCATATCAATGAATTTAGTCTACAGTACGAACTATGTACAGTGCGCTCCCACTTCGGATAAGATGCTAGCTATATGTTGCGATCTGGTATCATGTTTGCCGCCCCCCCCCCCC